TCAAGATATATTTTTTGCACTTTTTGCAGGTTACATTGAACCAGATATAGGCAATATGGAGCATACAAAAACCTTGTCATAGGAATCATATATGGTTACTTTCAATTTTTACAGCAATATTAATTTTTTTAATTGAAAATCCACATCCATCTACATTTGTATATGAACCCCGTAACGGGGTTCATATACAAATGTAGATGGATGTGGATTTAAAATACGGCATGCAGCTGCAGGTAGACATCAGAAATACCTGCACAACCAGTCAGAATTGCCCCGAGGAGGGTGAGAGGGGTCACCAAAATGTCAGCAGAATAAAACTCTTGGTTGTGGAAAAAATGTCTCTGACTTATCAACCTTACGGAACTATTCACAGATGGTGGTGTCTGATGTGTATTTATTTGTTTTTCATATTATCTGTTTATCCTAGGGTACCCGTTACCTGCTACTGATGGTTGATCCAGACGCTCCGTCAGCTAAAAACCCTGTCATGAGATACTGGCTGCACTGGGTGGTCACTCAGATCCAGGTAAAGCTGAAAACTGTTGTATTAACTTGTATATGATAGAGTAACTCACTTATCTGCAGTCTGTTTGCAATGAAGTCTTGAACCGGTGCAAATGCCAAGTGAGTAGAGTGTCCACCTTGCATTCCATGGGTTGTGAGTTCGATCCCGAGTCAGACCAAAGACTTTAAAAATTGTACATACTGCTTTCTCTGCTTGGCATCAGCATTGGGAAAAGAGTATGGGAGTTAAACACACACCACTACCACTAGCCCCCTGCTGTAGTGATGACTGTGTCCTAAGGCTATTGAGCCAGAGATGGGTAGCCCTATTCACCCACCTGGTGTGGGAAGGACCTTTACTAATTAAGTCTTGAAGATTTGTGAGTGACACCAATAGCAAGGACATCCCTAAAATGTTGAGAATGAGGCTTCAGAAGTACTTGCTGGAGGTTATTTTTTTTCTTTTTGTTCTCATATGAAGAGTTGAAACCATTAGGTGGTTGAACCACCTTTTTTAAACCAACACTGTTGTCTTTTCTACAGGGTGAAGATTTGAAGCGAGGTATAGAGAGTCAAGACTGGGGTTCCATTGGAAGGACCTTGATGAGTATGTATATATATGTGTACTTGTGGTAGCATTAATTGAACAGGTCTTTAAGTAGTTTTTCTGCATACTTACACCAGTGCAGTACCATTAACAAGATGCCAGGGGCCCAAAATCAAATCATTTTGAGGTCTCTACAAGACCTACCCTCCTACCAAGTTCCATGACAATCCATTTGTAATTAATGTAAAGCTTCTTGAGTTAATTGTGCTAACCACATTCATACATACATACATACATACATACATAAACACAAATGCTACCAAAAACATCTTTAGTGCACATTACCTAATGGATTTCATGCTGGTACAATGTTCTGCCCACATGCTCTCTGGTGCCTTATTCAGACTTGAATGGAGACAATGTGAACATTTAACAACCTGGGGGTCAAGGTTGTGATCTTAACAGTATGTTCTGACGACGTGCTCCCCAGGTGCCTTATTCAGATTTGAATGGGGACAATGTGAACATTTAACAACATGGGGGGTCAAGGTGGTGATCTTTTCTGTCTCAAACTTTTGTGTGTAGGCAGTTGTGTAGGTGGAGGATGGCCACTGTAATTGAGTATGGCATGTCATAGGGTGCAGTTTCAGTCCTTTTTCTGTGTAGGTGGTAACCACTCATTTTTCCTTTTCAGTGCTTGTCAATACATCAAGCCTCATCATATACTAAAGTACTCCTTTCATATACATGTGTATTGCTAGTGTGAAGTGCCTAACTTTACCATGATTCAGCTTTACATATGTTTTTTTTTACCTTCTACTTTATATAATGTCGAGTCACACATTATTGTCACTCTGAGGCAGAATGCATATGAGTAAAGAAGCTATTTTTTGTCCACAACCAAGTGTTTTATTCACAGCCAACATTTACCTGACTGTCACCTTCCTCATCAGAGCAAGGCTTACTGGTTCTCATTGCACTGCAGCACAGGTGTCGCTGTTATAGATGTTACAGAGTGAACATTTGGGAATGCATTTATAGCAGCGACACCTGTGCTGCAGTGCAACGTGAACCAGTCAGAATTGCCCTGAGGAAGGTGACAAGAGGTCAGCTGTTAATAAAACACTTGGTTGTGAAAAAAAGAGCTTCTTTTCTCAGTGACTTACCAACCTGATGAAACTGTTGACGGAAGAATGCCTGTGATTCCTGATGTTTTCTCCCCACCTGGGTCAAAACCTTACAGCCTACGCGCCCCCCACCCCACCCCCGGGATCAGGCAGCCGTCGCTACCAGTTTTTCCTCTTTGAGGAGCCGCCCACACATCCCATAATACTCACCCCGGAGCAGCAGAAACACCGTGGCAAGTTTGACCTTAAGGCCTTCCTGAAGGACATGAAATTCGGGGACCCCGAGGCGGCAACGTACTTTGTGACAGAGAACGCTGGAGATCGAGATGAACTCTAATGTTAGATTTTAGCAAGATGTACATGTATAACAACAATTTTTACTACATGTAGTAACAAAATAAATGTGTACCATGGTGTGTTAAGCCAACAATAGGCTTGCTGAAATACTATTTTCAGAGCTCGGGAAAACTTTTAGCTATAATGGAATGAAAATGTCTTGTTATATGTTAAAACATCCACCGGTTAAGAAATTACAAATCCCATGTAACTGGTTTATATCTTTCTTGTAAAGTGCATTCTTCTTTTTCCAGCCTAGGAAACAAGGAGCTACTGCTAGATATTGACTTGTGTGGCATTTCATCCTGTCTTTATGTGTTACATATCTGCCATTCCACATTGTGCTTTTTAGTTTGGATGGTCAAAAGTTTATACACCTGCTACAGGGTCTGTCTGGGTTCTCCCACTGGTGGTGGGGTAAAATACCAGTATGGTCCTTCTGCTGATCACAATCTTTCTCCTTCCATAGATGTCTTCAAAGGTGTTTAGTGAGCTGAAACTGATTTATTTAGAGTGTTTTTTTTCTTTCCCGCTCTTTTCAGTAAGCAGGTTCAGGGGCAAGGTCATGGTGCAAAGGTCATGATGCAGCTAGGGTCATGGTGCAAAGGTGATGGTTGCAAGGTCAAGTACTGATGGTGCCTTTTGATTTGATATTCAGCCAGCATCAGGTGACCTGGAAGAGCAGAAATTGAACACACTGTATTCAAAAGATATGCATACTGTAAACCTTTCAGTACTAGTATCTTTTGAAAATATAGGCGTTATGGATTTATTATGTACATGTACTAGTTTCATAAATAAACTTGCTATGGTTAGAAGCTATTGTATGGTGTATATTTCTATGCTTTGACAAACTTGAATGAATAAATGCCTCACATGAAGCCCTGAACAACTTAGTTCTTTTACAATTCCTTTTGATTTTTTTTCTCGTTTGGACTCAATCATAGTTTGTGAATATTGAACAAATGATTGTATCATACATGTAGTCATTACTTATTACTGTACATTCACTAACAAAACAAGGAACTACCGGTAAGATACAATGACTTTCACACAAACAACACAAACCTCAACATCTCCATTAAAAAAAAACAATGATCTTCAAGTTGGAAAAGGAGATGCAACAGGGTAACAAGGTACTGTTGTCAACAGATCATAGAATCACTGGGATGACAGAGATACACTTATCAGGTTTGTAGTCCACCCTGATGGTCTTCCTACTCTTTGTTGCTAGGTTACAACCCCCCAACGCCACCCAAAGGCTCCGGGCCACATCGCTACCAGTTCTTCCTCTTCCAGCTGCAACCAGGCCAGGACGTGACCTTGAAGAACGATGATCGTGGGAAGTTTGACCTTCAGGGATTCACTGCCAATCTCAAAGGCCCGGTGGCTTCTACTCAATTTAAAGCCGAAAAGCCGGAGTAAAGTGTGTCTGATTTGCATGGATCTGGCTGATTAAAAAGCCATGGAAAATAGTTATCCGTGGAAATACATGTAGACGAAAAAGAACACATTGAAAAGTCCAAAAACTGTTGACACAAAGCATTAGAACTAATAGTTACTTTTAAAGTTAACTTATGATATTTATCCATTTAAGAAACAGATTCCTGCTCAAAGTGTTGAAACATTGAAAACTTTTTAGGTGATTTTAGCAAATCCGGTCATTAATATTGTTTTTCTGAATTCCAGACAGTCTAGATATGGGTACAAAACAAAGTCGTATTCTCCTATCTTTTCTTCCTCTTATTTGAGAGACAGGATCCTGCCTATAGTGTTGACATATCAAAAACTTTTTAGGTGATTTTAGCAAATCTGGTTTTTGTTTTTTCCGAATTCCAGACAGTTTAGATATGGGTACAAAACAAAGTCACATAAGTCTCCTATTTTTTTCTCCCTCCCATTCCCAAAGGCCAGCTCAGTAAGGCAGGCCAATCTAATTACCTCTTTGATGTGCAGCGAAAATGACTGGAAAATCGTTAGCCCGTCGGTCTTGTTTTCTGCGTCATTAGTTTGGGGCCCAGCGGACATTATTAGACGGTGAACCTGGCCTGGATGACGTCAGCTCTGCCCGTGATTTCATTATCCACATCTCTAATGTATTTTGCTGGGCCCTTCTGCCTAAAATAGTAGCACTAATGCCGCTACTAATCAGGACTTTGGGCCAATTTTTGTGTTTTTCTGACGTCGCAAATTTCAGGAAAATTCTACTGGGAATGTTTTTCCTGGCAGGTTTCATTACGTTCATGTCTGGATGTATAGATTTTTGTCCTTGAAAAGATTATTAAGGAATGGACAGAATTTTGGCCAAATATGGTTTGAAACATAGCATTGATCAGTAACCGGTATGTTTAGTTGTTATTTGGGCTGGGCCTTTTATTAAATCTTACTGCCTGAAGAAAAAAATGGAAATCCAAACTTTGAAACTTTTTAGAAATGTGACATGGCAGTGTTGCTTTTCAGTGCATTTGCCGGACTTTGATGAAGAAGTTGTGTATATATTTTAATGGAAAGATTAAGAAATTGTTATAATATATACACTGTACTTCTATTATATTTCAGAACTCTTGTAACATGTGCCTATATGTGTCTAGCTCGACCTTTGTGCAATGGAATATACATAATATACAGACTAACAAAGGAGCTTAGTTGAAGTCCGACACCCACCTGTTTTTGTGTGAAGACAGAAATTTGCCTCTTGGGCTATAGTTTCCTCCTGAATTTTATCTAGCCTCCTGTGCAGATCCTTTCTGGTGGGCGGCATTTGTGTCCATCAGCACAAAACCAAAGGGGGATTGTTGTACGGTATTGGCCACCAGACTGACTAGAAAAGGCCTACAGAGGAGTCTACATTTCACCCACCCACCTACATGTATTCAAATGTAAGATGATTTGATGCTCTGTACATGTACTGCTGCTATGAGATTGTCCAGTTAAACTGGTGAATAATTTTTTTGTGCAATAAAAGGAAGGCAATACCACAGACATGCCATGTTCTGTTTTTTTGTGTGGCCCTCCATTAACAGATCCAGGTGAAACATAAGGAGTCAAGTGTCTTTCTCAAAGACTTAACACTTGGGCTTGCCAGGGGCATAAGAGATTCGAACCTAGAACCCTCAGATTCTAATGAGTCAGAGACCATAATCACTAGACCATCTTGCAACCATGATTTTGAATGTGTGTTTTTCTAAAGTTTGATAACGTGTGATGGCAAAGGTTGCTGGCATGTACATTGTACCTGTAGATCTGTAAAACTTTTCACCGCTGTTCGTAAAATCTCCAAGCAGATCCAACAGTGTCAAGACCGTATGCACTGGCCAGAGGAGTGACCATTAGCACCCTGATGGATAAATGGTCACTCCTCTGGCCAATGGGTTACTGTCTTGAGTGACCGTAGGATCTGTTTGGTGATTCTACAAACAGCAGTGGAAAGTTTTACGGATGTGTGGGGTCTCTGTCAGTCTTTGTCTCAGCTGTCCATCCGCACTTCCACCTTGTCCCCCCAACGACCAGGGGGTCAAGGGACAAGGTAGGTAGGTAGGTAGGAGTCTTTGTTGCTGTAAGAAAGCCTTAGGTCCTTGAAGTGGGTGGAGTAGTATTGTCGCAGCTACTCCCTGCAGCTATGACTTAAGTGTTCAACACAGATCCCAGGATGACTCATAATTGGCACATCTGTTGACAATGAGTGACAGAACACAGTAACGTTACACTTGACCTACAACAGCCATGCTGATGAGTCACAACAACACAGACATAGGCAGGCCTCGAAATTTACTGTTCTTCCCATTGTCCTAGCCTCCATCAGGCCTTTCTACGGGTATACGGATCGTAGAATTCGGCAAAAAAGAGAATCAAATTGGCCAAGGGAGTCCGGCCGCGGGGAGGTAGTTTCGTTCCTGGCATAGTCAAACCCCAAGGCAGCCAAACTCCCCTGGCAAATATTCTCCTATATAGCCAGCGTAGTTAGTCTGGTAGAGACTACCATTGTCCCAGCACTGTCCCAAAAATAAATTTCAATTGTCCCGAAGTGAGGATAAACTGTCCCAACCCAGTTTTTTTTTTGGAAGTAGTGTATGACTTCAACATGAAGTCAACTTTATTTTGCTCATGTTCACTCCCAGGCGCACTTAAATTGCAGAGTAGACAGGAAATTCAGGGGGATTTTTCTGGATCCAAAAGCTGGGACGTGTACCTGATAAAGAAAAGAAGGGCTGACATTCTGGTGTTGATTATTTTTCTATTGCCCCAAAAAATGTCCTAAAGTATCTTTTTAGTTGTCCCAGCCTAAATTTTAGTGGTTAGAGTGGCCATTGCACCACCTTTAATTTCGAGCCCAGATAGGAGGCTGTGGTCGTACTTGACTGAAGAATTTTTGACAGGTCTGTCGCATTGCAAGACAAATGTCATGACATATGAGTAAGAACACTCAAACCTTGAAGGTCATGATCACATACCAAGGACATAACAAGAGAATATATCGCGAAGCCAGACTTTATTTTAGTCTGGAAAAGTTGAGACAGCCTCTCGAGGAAGTGACTGTGGTCGCCTGTGACAATATTCAGTGGGTGTTGAGACAAAAACGTAAAGATTACTAGTGGGTGGTGGGGGTGAGAATATGTTTGCACAAAAATATAACGAAAGCGATTTTTCGATTGTCGACACTTGTGACAAGTCTTACTACTACAAAAGTAACAGCCCAAGTGGATGATCTTCTTTGGATTGACTTTTGCTATTAAACCTTCGGTCTACAAACAAACAAAAACACCTGAAGTTATTTGGAGGACTTTACTTTTCAAGGAGCTTCCAGACTTTTATGTTCAGGTGTAGCATAAGGTATAGTCAAAAGACGTTGTAGGCTATGACTGAGGTTGTACGATATTTAAAGTGGCAATTAATTTAAGGGGGGAGCAAGGGGCATGAAAATGTTTTTGACGGGGTAGGGGATATTTTCGGGGGGGGGGAGGAAACATGCATGTAAATAGCCTGACTCCAAAGACGAGCCCTCCCCTTAAGTGAATATCGTACAGTCCCTATTAAAACAGTCGATAGTTTTACGTTAGGTTGTTAACCTCCTATCTTGTTGGTGACTCATGGAACGTGGGTTGACCAGACAAACACGGGTGTAAGGGGGGCACGTGTGGGCCAACTTTAAATGTCAGAGGTCACGCAGTGGGCCAACTGGAAATGTCAGGGCGTGTGAGGTCACGGTGGTCACAGAACAAATGTCAGAGGTCACGCTCCAGACCGTCAGGTGTGCAGGTATGTCAGGGTCAAGGTCGGGTCGGGAAATCTCCAAGCAGGTGTTGGGAAGGACGATCCCACGGATTTTCGGCTGCCCGAT